TCACGGTACAATATTTATTGCGATATAATATGAAAGCTCACGATATGGTTGGGAGGCTCATGATTTTACGATATTATACATAATAACAAGACTGACATTATAAATGTTTTGATCAGTCATTAACATTTATTGTCATATTCTAGGGATGTAACAATATCCAAATCTCATAGTACAATATTATTACGATATGCATCTCACGGTATGATATTTATTGCAATATTATAATATAATTATAATAATATAATATAATTATAATATAATTGTAGATAGGACACGTTTTTGCTTTTAAAATACCTTGACAAGATTTTGGTGTGAATTATTTCCATCATAATCCCAAGAATTCAAGTAAAAACATATTTCTTCATGTTGTCTGCTCTGAAATGAATCATGGGAAATGTAGTTTCTGATGTTTATAAGCTGTTGCTGTTGCATGCATTTAAGCAAAGAAATTGTGATTCGATATATTGTGACAGCTCTCGATATTATTGAGACTTCTGACGATACAGTATCACAATATTTTGGTTAATGTTACATCCCTAACAAAGAGTAAAAAATATGAATGGTAATAATAAAAACAAGAGACTGGTGTCAAATTAGGTATAAATATATAAATGTGTAAGTAAGTAAGTAAGTAAAAATAATTGTAGAAAAATATTATAATACAAATATATCCCTCAGCTATTTACAGTACAAGAGGTCAAATCTTAAACTTGTCCTTTTTTCATTAGTAGAAAGTTATAAGTTATATATATGAATTATTTAAATAAGAATTGCCTGTGCCACCATAGTCTCAGTATAAACCATTATCAATCAAGTACAGTATCAATATTGTGGGCTACTGTATTGATATATCGCCAAGAGTATTTTTTGGTATATTTTACTGAATTATTTTGTTACAGCGCTACAGTTTTGTTGTTTGTTCAGAGGAAGGAAACTCGTTTATGTGACACATTTGACATTTTCACTGTTTTGATGAGTAAAATGTTTGTGTTTCATATGAACTTTGCACAGGAAGTGGTTTAACAAAGACTTTTAGTATCACAGCCATGATTTAGCCTTTATTTTTTATTGAACCGTATCAAATTGATTTGAAATATATATCGTATTGAATCGAAAGCTCACTGTATTGAGATATCGTATTGTGACGTATGTATCGTATCTGCAACTTCTTAATGATACCCAACCCGAGTTTTAACACTAGTTTGAGTAACTAGTTGGGTAGATATTTTGAAGGTCTCTACCACTGGGGTTTTCTACTCTGAACTTACAGAAAAAACACTTCAGCAGGTAAGTAGATAAAAAGAAAAATAATTATGATATGCGCTCTAAGACTGTGTTATGTAAGTGTTTCCTGCGTGGACATGGTGACTCCTGGATATGCAGATTTGTGCTGCACCAGGCGGAGCTGGAAGTATCTGGAAGGGGCAGTAAATGCTGAAGTCCACAGGCAGTGACAGGTCATTCTTCACATGGACCCCGTGAGTCTGCAGCTGAGCTGGCTCTGAGCTGCTCCTGTCGACTCCTGTCCTGTCTGCTCCTGTCTGCTCTCAGGACAGAGAGACCTGCTGTAGTAGCACTTTGCCGCCAGACTGAGCCCAGCTGTAGATCTGATCCCAGGCCTCAGGAAAACAAGAGTCGCGTGTAGCAGCCACTGAATACAGTACATAATGAGGATTCTGTTACAGAAGCACTTAATGTTTCCAGGCGTGTGGGGTCCTTTGTAAAGCTGGTCTTAGTTTTCAATAGAATCAATTATATTTAAATAAAGCTGGTAAATTTTTAACAGTGAAAGGCGGAAGATGATATTTAATCTAACTCATCCCTTGCTCTTACAAACTCTTTGACTCTTACAGGTCTAAACCAGATAGAAGCGTGAGAGGCTCCAGAGGCAGGTGATCCAGAGCCATGTTAGCTGAGACAGACAGCAATTACTTTTACACAAATATAACTCTAACATACAGGCTAATGAGGCTACTGTTACACCGTGCTTCCAGGTGTCACTCCTGCACTTTTGTGAAACGGTTTGTGTTACAGAGATGAGTTGTGAGGAGCTGACTTTATTATTAACAAACATGATCCTTGATTTGTGAAAATAAATTACCAATTGTGTCAGAGAAGTTAAAAAAAAACCTCTTTCATTCTTTTTAAGTCAGAAAAAGTCTTGACAATTATTTCATATCAATACGTGACCAGTAGAAATCAGAGAACTAGAAATGCCTGCTAACATAATAATTAGATCAGATTTTCAATGTGTTTTTTCATGTCTAAAAGAAACCTGATCATTTGCATTGTTCACCTCAATGGGTTTCTAAGTGTTTTTCACAACTCTTGTCACAGTAAAACTAACAACCAGCATCCTAACTACGCACATTCCGTTTCTCTGAAAATTATAAAAAGTGGCAAGGATCGCAGACTCAGTGGTCGGCCAAGGAAATTTAGTGCAGCAGATGAAAGACACACCAAGCTTATTAACCTTTGGAATCGGAAGCTGTCCAGGAGTGCCATCAGCTCGCGGGACCCAGGTACATCCATCTAATGTCCGGAGAAGTCTGGCCAGAAGTGGTCAGCCAAAAAGCCATGCCTCTGACGTGGAAACAAGGCCAAGCGACTGAAGTATGCACAAAAACATAGGAACTGGATTGCAGAACTGGACTGATTAGTCAAAGTTTGTTCGTCGAAGGGCTGGAGAGCGATACAATGATGATTGTCTGCAGGCAACTGTGAAGGTGGAGGTTCCTTTAACATTGGGGCTGCATTTCTGCAAATGGAATTGGAGATTTGGTCGGGATTTATGGTGTCCTCAGTGCTGAGAAATGCAGGCAGATACTTATCCATCATGCAGTATCATCAGGGAGGCGTATGATTGGCCCCAAATTTATTCTGCAGCAGGACAACGACCCCAAACATACATTCAAAGTCATTAAGAACTATCTTCAGTGTAAAGAAGAGCAAGAAGTTCTGGAAGTGATTGTAAGGCCCCCACAGAAACCTGACCACAACATGATCGAGTGTGTCTGGGATTACATGAAGAGACAGAAGGACGTGAGGAAGCCACATCCACTGAAGATCTGTGGTTACTTCTTCAAGATGTTTGGTTTTTAACCTACCAATCGAGTTCCTTCAAAAAGTGTATGCGAGTTTATCTAGAAGAATTGATGCTTTTGATTGACTGATTTAGATTTCTCTTTTGTTCATTCACTGCATTTTGTTGATTGATGAAAATAACTAGTTAACACTTCAATTTTTGAAGGCATTCCTAGTTTACAACATTTTTTGCACAGAACTGTATGACCTTTAAAATCCATAACCGTTTAACCATGTCCTTAAATCAAATCACCTGGATGTAGGACACGTGTTTTCAGTCATTATTCAGTAGATGTGGCTCGGTAACCAGTACACGGTAGTACACACTCGAAGTACACACTAGTACACACTTGTAGTACACGGATAGGCCCAAGTGAGGAGTGAGCTGGAGCAAGAGCAGTAACGCGATCTGTCCCGGGTTACTTCAGAGCTGTCCTACTTCAGTCCAGTTTCCCTGTCACAATTACACCTCATAAATACTGTATACGCACACGACTCACTTTGTAACAGAAAGACGACAGCTCTGACGTGAAAAGTGCTGCTCAATATTTTAAAAAGCCCTTACTGTTCCATTCCGATAATCTGAAACGAGCAAGTCCAGCGATTAAAAAGCCGTTGTTACTAATGGTATTGTTGTATGGGCAAAATGGGCTCTGTGCGGGGTCAGAAGTCTCAAAAATCAGATACTAATCCAGTATGAACCTTATGGTAAGATATCTATTGAGATATCATGCGAAAGCTCACAATATGATGGGGAATCTCACAATTAGGGATGTAACAATATCCAAATCTCCCAGTATGATATTTTCACAATATACATCTCACTGTACCATATTTATTGCAATATTTTGTGGAGGCTGAACAGCTAAAACTGTTAATATGCTACTTTTAGCTCTTAAAATGCCTTGATAAGACTTAATCCAAAGAAGTAAGACTTAAAAGTGCTTGGAACTGTTATTTCTTCATGTAGTCTACACTGAAACAGAGCAAAGGATCATGGTCTATGTAGTTCCCTCTGTCCTTTTTAGCTATTGCTGCACCATAACTCTTAATTTAAGCAAAGACACTTGCAATTCAATATATTGTGATGATATTATTGTGAGAACTTTGACGATACGATCTCACGATATTTCGGTTATTGTTACATCCCTACTAATCCATACGACATCTAATATTGAAACTAGATACTCATTTCAGTATTTTAAAAACTCCTTACTGCCCCATTCCCAAATGAGTAAATGCAACTATTAAAAAAATCCCTTGTTACAAATAGTGTTGTTGTAAGCGCAAAATGGGGTCTGTCAGTTGTCAAAAGTCTAGAAAATAAGACACTAATCGATACTAAAACTAGATACTCATTTGAGCAAGTAGATACTAAAGAAGTCACATTTACAGAACAGAAATGAACCTTTCCTGAATCCTTGAGTTTCAATTGACTGTTATATGCATATATGTAATTTGTCTGTGCAGCATTGTGGAAACTGTCATGTTTATAAAATGTGCTATAGAAATAAAGGGGATTGGATTATACAGCTACAACTTCCTGCTAATTCTACATCTCATTTTATAGAATTCTAAAGGTGCATGATGTAACTTTTGTTTTTCTCCTTGTTTATGCTTATGTGTTTTTTTTTGTGCCCAGAATGTTCCCCAGTGTGACATTAAACTTGAGACAAACAGGTCATATCTATGGAGAGCGAGCGTGCTCACAGTATGAATGCGTGTTTTCCAGGGTATTTCTTGGTAATAAAGACACTTATAATTGAAAAAATATATAAGTTGCATAAGTTTAATGTCAAACTGTGGAACATTCCAGGTAAAACAATAACATCACCACCACCACCCTCCACCAGAGAAGTTAAACAGTGCCTTAAAGCTTTAAATCTTGAGGATGAATGAGTGTTGTGTTTGTGCAGGCGGTGCACATCATGGAGGTGGCTCTGCAGAGGTACGGCAGCTACGAGCGCTTCGAGCAGGTCACAGGAGGGAGTCTGCTGAGCAAGAGCCGCATCTGGACCAGCGTCAAGAAATACATGGAGAAGGAGGGCTGTGTGGGGGAGGTGAGACTCTAGACCTGTTCTAGACTTAGACTTAAACTTACACAAACTTTATTGATCCACAGGGGACATTTTTGGACACAATAGCTCACCACAATATATGCTGCAGATCTTTAGGCACAAAAACGATTTAGGTTGTCTTTATAATGCCACAGAAAAAAGTTAAACCAGCTACAACAGCCCCCGCTCTCCTCCCGTGCCTTGCTGCAGTAAAAAAAAACACTCCAAAAAACTCCAGTCTAGTTCAAGGCACATGTACAAAACCAGTGTGGGGCGTTCAAATGTACCTTGTAAAAACAACATTATTCAAAATTTAAAATAATAACACCATGAAACCAATAGAGGGTGTCAGTGAACCTCAAAACAATTAATGTTTACATTAATTCACAACAATCATGCATCAATCAATCAGTCAAACTTTATTTCTATAGCACCTTCCAACGACCAAGGCCGACCAAAGTGCTGTACAACATTAAAACAAGATAAAAAAACAATAAACATCATGCAAATAGGTCAACAAAGCACATTACACCTTTAAAATAAAGAAAGTGTCACAGGGCCAGTAAGTGTTAAAAGCCTAAATAAGTAGGTTTTATGTATAACTGTGAATTAATTAATCAAATCTCTCACGTATATTATAATAACAAAGACCAAAAATATAATAAAAAGTAATAATACATTCAAAATAAGTAGGAAAAAATTGCAAGAGACTGGTGTCAAGAGGAGAGTGACTACTGTTAGTGTGATTCATCAGCTGGTTTCACTTCGTGGAAACCGTCTGACCTCACAGCATTAGGATTCGTTCGCTCGACAGTAGGCGAGTACTTTTTTCATTTAACCAATTGCTGCTATTTGGTTGTGATTAAGCTTTTCCCAAATCCCATAGGAAGAAGGGCAATAACGTCTTTCCCCTTGATAAAATTCACCAAACATTCTCTTTGTTCTGGCTTTAACTCCTCGATCTCGGGAATCGTTGACAACACAGAATGTCTGGCTCTTCGCTGATTGGCTGGTGCCCGAACTTGTACTTCCGGTGTTTTTGCGAACCGTCTAGTGTATTCTGAATCCTGACCTAGTCGCTGGAGAGAAATGAAATTGCATGGCTAGATCACTGTGGGTATATGAAGAGAAAATAGTTAAAATGGAAATGCGATTTAAAATAAAAATTTGTGTCATTTGTGTGGATTGGATTGATTGATTTTGTTATTTCAAGCGTCTTTATTTGCAAATGTAAAAACAAAACTGTACTTGAATTAATACACTTAATTAATCCACTGGCAGATGCTTAAAATAAAAACACCAAATATCCAAAAGTACAAATGCATAATAACTCAAACTCAGATTTTAAGTTGAAGTGATTTGAACTATTCTAAATGCAGGCGGCTTTTGTTCTTGTGCACTGTGAACACAATGAGCTGGAGTGAACCCCTGTGGATTGAGTGACAAAGCAAAGCATCACTTCTTCTCTGGAGTTTGTTCATGCAGCAGAAGAAGAGACGAGTTTATGTAACAGACACAACAAAGATTACATCACAGAGTTAAGGACGTGTCACTGAGCACACTTCACCACACTTACGCGCTGTCACTGAGAACGGCCACTCAAGAGTCTGACTGCAAACACTGTAACCGCACCATTTTACTTTGTCAACACGGAGCTACTATATGATACAACTGAACAACTTTTAAGATTTTATTCATATTGTCTGTTTTTATAAAGTTTTGGTTCTCATTCCACATTTTTAACATATCCAAGACCTTTAAAACAGTCACACCTGATCACTTAGTCCCTTCTCTCACTCAAATGTTGAACCATGGCAGAGAAATAAATGCTCTTTTTTCCCCAACATAACATCTCCATGGATAGAATTGTCTCCTCTTTATGGTTCTGTGTGGGCTCAAACGTCTCAAAAATCAGATACTAATCCATACTAAAACTAATATCCAAACTAGATACTTTTAAAAACTCCTTACTGCTCCATTCCCAAACGAGTAAGTGCAGCTATTAAAAATCCGTTGTTACAAATGGTGGTGTTGTAAGAGCAAAATGCGGCCTGTGCAGGGTCAAAAGTATTAAAAATCAGACACTAATCGATACTAAAACTAGTATTGAAACTAGATACTCATTTGATCAAGCACTGATACTAAAAAAGTCACATTCACAGAACAGAAATGAAATGTGTAACGATATCCAAGTCTCACGATACGATATTGTCACAGTATGAACCTCACGGGACGATATTTATTGCGATATTGTGGGAAAGATCATGATATGGTGGGGAGGCTCACGATTAGGGATGTAACAATATCCAAATCTCTCTGTAGGATATTTTCATGATATACATCTCACTGTACGATATATCTCGCAATAAACAGCTAAAACTGTGAATATGCAACTTTTCCCTTTTAAAATGCCTCAATAAGACTTAATCCAAAGAACTAAGACTTAAAAGTGTTTAGAACTGTTATTTCTTCATGTAATCTGCACTGAAATGGAGCAAAGGATCATGGTCTATGTAGTTCCCTCTGTGTTTTTTTTTTTAGCTATTGCTGCACCATAACTCTTAATTTAAGCAAAGAAACTTGTAATTTGATATATTGTGATGGTCTATGATATTATTATGAGAACTTTGACGATATTTTCAATTATTGTTACATCCCTAGTGCATTGTGTAACTTGTCTGTCACCTGCTTGTCTAGATGGAGATGTTATTGTGTCTATCTCGAGGGAACTATAGGCTCCATTACAGGTCAGATCTGTGGAGAGCTAACACTATTCACAGTCAGAATTATTGTCTTTTTGAGGAATAGAAACACTCGTAATGAACAAATGCTAGATAGATGTGTTTAATGTCATACCATGGAACGGAGACAAGCAGGTGACGGACGCTCCTCTAGAAAAGTTGTACAATTCACCTTTCATGTACATATATAAGTTGTTTCATGTACATATCTTCTTCTTGTCTGTGTTTGTGTTTGTGTTTCAGATCGTGGTACAGGTGACAGATGACCTTCTCTCCAGAGCCTCCATGACGGTGGTGAACAGCAGACCCACTCTCACCATCAACACGGCCACGGCCAGAGAGCACTGGCTGGAGGGGATGCTCAGACACGAGATCGGTACATTCTCGACTACCGTACTCACAAATCAAGCCGTTGAAAGCATTGTTTCCCAAAGACGTCTGCATGTGGGTCTGCAGTATTCAGTTCTGACACATGAGAGAGCGAGTGACTATTTTGTTCCAATATTGCTGGTTCAATTGAATGTTGAAAAGAAAAAGAAATAGACGACTTATGGATCCTTTTTTTGCTGGTTCAATTACTGTTTTTCATTTTTTTAAACTTGAGTAATTCTAATTGTTCAGAGAGACACGATCGCTCAGTCAGCAATAAAATATCCTCATTAATGTTCAATAACGGTCAAATCCACCTTCATTTTGTGATTTATGTATAATGTCTATTGACTATTTGTGACTTTTAAAATATGGGTCCCCAGAAAAAAAAAAGTTTGGGAAACAGTGGTTTAAAGCACACAGGCTTTTGTTAGAACTTTTACATTTTGTGTTATGTTTTTGTAGCCTGACATGGTAAAAAATAAGTTAAACAAGTTACTGAAGTTAGTTTCTTATATTTTAGAATTCTAGATATAGATATAGACTACTAATGATTTTTTAATTGCAGCCACACTTTGGGATTTTGATACTAAAAATGGAGAAACTATTCCTAAGTAACAGATTAAATTCATTTAAAATCTGATTCATGAGTTTTAATAATTGGACAGACCATAAATAAATAAAAATGCACGCATAAATGCACATAAAAATGAATAAAAAAATCATATCTGAAGGCAAGAAGTGCAAAATCATTTAATATTATCAGAATAAAGCTTTTGTCAGTCGTTAGATTATTACTTCAAACTAAATATTATTCACTAATTAAGTAAAAGTTAGAGTACATATATTTATATAATCATGTTTTATTTGACATTTGCTTTTTTTTTTTAATAATTTGTGATTTTTGAGGGAATGGATACCCAGCACATTAATAACAAAATAGACATAACAAAATATAAGACTAGCAAAGAAAGAAGAAAAAAAAGAGAAAAAAAGGGGGAGGTAGGGAGTGGTAATGTCTTGCTCTTTTTATTGTTACTTATTTAAGAGTTTATTATCATTTTTATGTATTTTTTACTATTTGTTATTATAATATATTGTGATGTGTGAGCTACTGTGTCCAAATAATTTCTCAGTTGTGGATTAATAAAGTCTGTCTTAGTCTAAGTCAGAAAACTTCTCTCAAAAGTGCAGTTTCTTCTCAAAGTAAATGTATCTCTCTCTTTATTCACAGGGACTCATTACTTCCGCGGTCTGAACAACGTGCACCAGCCGTGGAGCACCAACTCAGGGCGAAGGAGGCACAATCTGAGGCCCCTGAACCCCACAGAGGAGGGCCTGGCCAGTATCCACAGTGTTCTGTACAGAAGGGACCCCACCCTCTGGAGAGCCGCCCTGCTCTACTACACCGTGTACCAGGCCAGCAGCATGTCCTTCTGCCAGCTCTTCCACTGCCTGGGACGGTTCCTGCAGGACCCCCACACGCGCTGGGACTACTGCGTCAGGGCCAAGAGGGGCCAGAGGGACACAGAACTGCCAGGTGAGACACTGACGCTCTGATTCACACAGATCACACAGGTGGAGGACAGGGGTCTGTATCACTCTACGGGAGATTTACAGTTTTTGAAAAAGCTGTGCAGAGGTGACATTGAACTTAGTGTGAGTTTTTGCTTCATGTGGATCATTGTATTGACTCTTCTAAAAATTCTGATGTACGTGAACCCAACTTATTATCAACTCTTTTTGTTAGATTGTGAAGTCATTTTGTCCTATGGAAAGGTAAACAAAAATTTAAATGATTCTGCTTTAAGAGGAGGGAACCACTATTGAAAGAAAAGACCTAAAGACATGAATGTATTATTGTTTACATTTTATTTAGTTATGTAAGACTCTGGACTGTATGTGAGTGAGTTAAATGGTATTTTTCTGTACGCATCAGTTAGTAAATTGCTGACATCAGTGGCTGGACTGTTACATAACTAGTACTATACTATATATTCTCTAGAGCAGTGGTTCTCCGCTGTGGTCCAGAGCCCCCTGGGGGGTTTCAGAGGCACTGTGGGAGGGTGGAGACCCCTGAGGCCACTGAGGCAAAACTCTTTTGAAACAATTTATATTCACTAACAAAGACCACGCGGCAACAATGGAATAGGATAAAGATATTTATTGACGGTGGATAGATGTGATGGCTGGGGAAGACTCAGGGTGGGGCCCTCTCTCCAATCCAAAATGGTCACCCAGCCGAATCGAACCCCCCTCCCCTCCTTAAAGATGATGTCTTTGGGCTGAAGGATGGACAAGTGACACAGGGTGTATAAATAGGGCTTCTGGGTAATTGAGATAAGCTGTGGTTGACTGTGGAGGAGGTTGAGGCGCGGTCCAGCTCCTGAATCTCAGTTAATCTCCACATAATAAAATAATGTATTTGTTTAATTCATTTCTTAGAATCAGTATTAAGCCCATTTACATTACTGTTTGTACTAGTTACATGTAAATCTGTGAGGAAAAGCATTGAATATTCTGTTTAATGAAGTGTGAATTATTCATCGGGACGCTGTGTAATGTTCAGATTAGACATTGCTTTGTTTAACTCTAATGTGTGCATGTACAATGACCTGATTACCATATTTCTTTATTCATTTGTTTTGCAGGTTGCTTCAGTAAGGATCAGGTGTATCTGGACGGCATCTTGAAGATCCTTCGATACAGAGACAAGATCGACTTTCCTCTGCTCATGTCTCTGGGGAAGGTGAGGCTGTCGCATTTAGACTGAATCTTAATGAAACCGAATGGTCAAAACAAATAAATTCCATCCATATAAAAGTATTCTGCATAAAACTAAATCTCCTTTATTCTGCATTAGCCAACAGATTTTCAGTCACTCTCACCTTTTGGTTGAAAATAAAGCACCTAAACAGAAACACGGACGGTCAAATTGATCACAGGTGCTTGAAAATGTGTCACTTAAATCTATTTTGTATTTTTTCAGATCATCTTAAAACGTATCAGGCTGCGTTTGCGATGTGTGCAATGTGTCACCATGGCAACTTAAACCCCCAGCATCATGACACTGCGAAGTATAAATGCGCAAACTACGTAGTTTGTTAACTTTCTCATTCAAAAACATAATTGCCCTCTCCTTCCCATCTTGCTTCATTTGCATATCTTCGCTCTCACTGCTTTTGAAATTGTCTGTATTCCCCCGAGGCCTGAATGAAATAAACAGAGGAAAGTGTACCTTATATAACCCAAGCAAAAAGCAGGCCCCAGAATAGACTGGAAGGACTAAACAAAACTCTCGTTCACGCACTGCACCACAAATGACGTAAGAAGTGAAGTCAGAGGTGGATTTGGCTTGGCAGGCACGAAGGCAAATGGGTTAGCACTCTCAGCTCACAGCAAGAAGGTCCCATGTTTGAAGTTTAGTTGAGTTCTTCAGGTTATAGAATTCAATCACGTTTTAGTCATTTCAGGAAGAATCACTGTGTAACTTTCCGTGTGGAGAGTTTGCCACCATGACTATGATATTAAACTTATTTATCGTAATTTCTGGAGCGCACCTGAATATAAGCTGCATCGACTACATTTTAAAAGAAAAAAAAAAATTTTTTGTACATATATAGGTGGCACTTGTCTATAAGCCGCAGGTGTCCACGTCTTCAAGAACGTTTTCAGGATCAAACCATCTGCTTTTATCGCCTCTGAAAGCTTTTGTCATCTTTTTGCGTTGAATCAGTTCGTCACGCTGCCGTCGCCAAAATCTCACCATGGACTCACTGATATCGAGCTCACGTGCAGCAGCTCGATTTCCTTCTTCAACAGCCTCATCAATTGTCTTTAACTTAAAAGCTGCATCATCTACATTTCTTCGTGTGTTTTTCATAAGGAGGGTGTGTGTATGAAGCGCAAAATATCAGTTCAAGGCCAGGCAAGTTTATTTGTATAGCACAATTCGTACACAAAGTAATTCAAAGTGCTTTACAGAATAAGAAATACATTAAAATCAGAATAAAAACAAATCAAAACATAATCATGAAGATTAAAATTAAAAAAAGAGAGACATAAATTGGAGAGAAGAGTGCGGAATGAAAACCTTTCAGTTATTTGCACAGTTAAAACAGAAATGTTTTGAGCCTGGATTTAAACAGCGTCACAGAAGAGTTTGTCTCACATGTTCAGACTGTTCCAGGTTTTAGCTGCATGAACCTGAAACTGACTCCGGGCACCAGCAGGAGGTCGGTCCCTGAGCTCCTCAGAGTGCGAGATGGTTCATATGACACTAACATGTCACAGATGTACTTTGGTGCTCGGCCATGGAGAGACTTGTACACAAGCAGAGCTGCTTTAAAGTCTATTCTCTGAGGCACAGGAAGCCAGTGCAGAGACCTGAGCACAGGACTTATGTCACACAACAATCAAACGATCATCTTCCTCTGTGCATCACCCCCGTCTCTCCCCGCGCTCTACTGCGCTTGTCTCCTGCAGATAGTGTTAAAGAATCACTGGTCGGACCCAAATATGCAGTAACAAAAGTATTTAATAACAAAAATAGTCGTGGACAGGGGGATAGATTCCAGGGGAGGTAGGACGGGTCCAGGTTGGCTGAAGAGCAATGGTGAAGAGGCTGACCAGAGGCTTGCGGAACAGGTGGTAACGGGATGAGGCTGGCTCCAAAACGGTTGAACTGGGGAACGGACAAAAGTAAACAGATAAGAGTCAAAAACCTTCAAAAATGCTCAAAAACACAAAAAGCCTAAGTAGTTCACCACTTGGTTGACGGAACGATCTGGCACTGGAGAGCAGGTCAGCAGGTCTCTTATTGCAGGAGATGATTACTGACGAGGATCAGGAGTGGAGCTCAGCAGGTGAGATGATTTGGGGGCCCGCCCAGGAAAAACCAAATAAGGTGAGAGAAGGGAAGAGGGAGCAGGGAAAGTAGGGGTAGGAGGAGCAGGGAGAACCCTCACAGATAGAGCCGCTGTCACATTAAACTCCACGATGTATCGATATTTCAATACTTTTGCACACCCCTATTAACCATAAACCAGATCAATACACCTGCAAGCCACCGTATGTAACTTTTTAGAAAAAAGATCAAATAAAAGCATGTGTTTTCATTTCATTTTGCAGTGAGTGGGCTTGCATCTCCACAAACCTGACTCATATTTGACCTGGTTTCTATAGAAATGTTGTTTTTTTGGCTGTAATATCCACTGTAAAACTTATCTCTCTATGGTTGGTTTGAACTTTTTCCTTGGAATCCAGAAAGTTACTGAACCAGTATAAACCATAGAGTTCTGAACTTCTCTTTCCTTTTTAATCATTATATTTTAATAATTTTCCAACAATGCATTCCTAACTATTTCCTAATGGGGTCAATTTTCTTCTCTGTTCTTTTTGTACATTTCCAGGTGTCTTTTGAGGACGTGGACAGACTCAAACCTCTGGCTCAGATGGACAACATTCGGATTCCTCACTTCATGCAGGACCAGTCCCAGTATCAGGAGCAGCTCACCAAGATCATGGCCGTGAACCAGCTCACGGACGAAGAACTCAGGACCCTCATCTAATTTATCCTCCACCAAAACCCACAAAACACACTGCCAGACATCCCCGGCATGACGACAGCAGTGTGCGTAGTGCATGTTAATAAAATAAAATTAAATCTTTATGTGCCAAATATGAGAAGGACTGCTTTGGAGTTGATACCTCACTTGAGTTATTTTTATAAAACTTTTGTGCCATCTATAAGAAATTAAATGACAGAAACTCCACAGAAAGGTATGATATAAAAGAAGTAGGTCTGTCGCTAAAATGCATATATTTTTCTTGTACATCTGATTAATGGATCATTTAAAGTTGTTAATTAAACGGCTCTTACTCACATTTATTCAATTACAGGTGGTTTTATAGCTCAGAAATACCCAGAAAAACAGACTCTCCACAGATCTGACCCGTTACTTGGTCTGATTTGGTCTAGAAATGCCATACTGTGAAACATTCCAGACAAAGCAATAACATCTCCATGGAAACAAGCATTTAGCGGAACCTCCACCAGAAAAGTTTGTGTTTTTTGGACTATAAGTCACGCTTTTTTCATGGTTTGGGTGGTCCTGTGACTTATACTCTGGTGCAACTTATATATGTTTTTTTCTTCTTCATTACGCATTTTTTGGCTGGTGCGACTTATACTCCGGAGCGACTTATAGTTCGAAAAATACGATAATATTTGTTTTTTGAAAAAATTTGTAATATTTTCAGATTCTTGAAAGAGCTTTATTTGTACTGTTCCACTGAAAAGAGCTTCAATCTTAACTGCTTTATGGCACTGTCTGGTTGATATTATTATCCTCCTAAAGGTGCATTGCATAACTTTTCTGGTGGAGGCTCTGTCACCTGCTTGTTTCTATGGATATACCTGGAATGTTCCGCAGTATGACATTAAACATCTCTAACTCACATTTATTCAATTACAGGTGGTTTTATAGCTCATAAATACCTAGAAAAACAGATCTGACTTGTTACTTGGTGTGGTTTGGTCTAGAAAGGTTTAATGCCATACTGTGAAACATTTCAGACAAAGCGATAACATCTTCACGGAGACAAGCATTTGACGGAACATTCACCAGAAAAGTTACAGTATTTTTTTGGACTATAAGTTGCGTTTTTTTCATGGTCTGGGCGGTCCTGTGACTTATACTCCGGTGCGACTTATAGTCCGAAAAATACGGCACACAGCGCACCTTTAAGATGTTAGATAGAATATTCTGCACTTTACGAACCTGCCGAGAAAAAAAAGTCTTAATTCATACTTATCAGTCCCGTGGAGAGGCTGAGGGGGCTGATGGTTCTGCTGCTGTCGTAGGAATGGGGTCAAAGAAAGACGAAGGCAGTGAGGACAGAAGGAGGAAGGGAGGAAACGAGGAAGAGTCTCACGGTACGATATTTACTGCGATATTCTTAAGAGGCTAATATAATTGTAGATACGACACTTTTTTGCTTTTAAAATACCTGGACAAGATTTTGGTGTGATTATTCCCGTCATAAACCTAAGAATTCAAGTAAAAAACATGTTACTTCATGTTGTTTGCGCTGAAATGAATCATGGGATATGTAGTTTTTGATGTTTATAAACTGTTGCTACTATAAAACCATGAATTTAAGCAAAGGAACTTGTAATTCGATATATTGTGAGACTTTTGACGATACGATATCACAATATTTCAGTTATTGTTACATCTCAAGTAAATATTTCTCCAACTTTGTCTGTAGTCCAAATATAGAATAGATTATTATTAGTTTTTGTGATTTTATTTGATTAGAAATTATTATAACCCAGAAAATGTGATGCTGTTACGTGATCTTATATAAAAACAAAGATGTAAATGTCTTATATAAAATGACTCTTGTGAGCTTTAAGCCGTGTTATAATGTTGTTGCCTCATCAAAAACAGACCTGGAGTTGATTGTAGTCTCATTTCACATTTGAGTAACCCTTTAATATTAGTCTGTCTACATCTTCAAAGCTCAAAATGCTCTGCTCCACCTTGTGATGTCATGAGGAGGTACTTTTCAAATTAACAGCTACTTTTTACTTTTAGTTCAGTCGAGATTGGCAGTTCCAGAGCTGAAATGATCCAAGTGAAGGTGTAGAGAGCAGAGGTGTCAAACTCAAATTCACAGAGGCCAAAATTTTAAACTGGGACTAAGTCGTGGGCCAAACTAAATATTTACTGAACAATTTCATCATCATCTGCATGTTTTTTCTTCTTTCGAGATATGTAATGTTAAACCTTTTCTTATTAAAATAAATGTTTAATAATAGTTTTGCTTAAATATTCAATTCAGAACAAGCATAATATAAAATAATAACAACATTTTAAATAAATAATGTCTCTATAGTCCAGTGGTGTAAAACTCATTTTGGTCCGGGGGCCGTATCCAACCTACTTTGATCCCAAAGGGGCCGGTCAGAAAACTCATGTCATATAAACCCCAAAAATAACAATAAGTTCAAATATTTGTGCAGAGAAACGCAAATCTATTACAGAAATCTTTTTTAATTGATGAACTCTTTCTTATTATAATATTATGAACAACCTGAAACTTTAAGAAAAATTCAATTTCAACACAATGTTTTAACATGATCCATCATCAATTTTTCTTGTAAAATCCTGCACTCGGCTCTACTTTTCTCATTTTGGACGTTTTGCTGATGAGGGTGTCACGGTCAACAGTCAAAATGATAGTTCTTTAAGAGCGTTTGGAAAGAGACAAGTCTTCATTTGTGCTGCTCTGGTGGGAGGGGCCACGTACAGAGGCTCTGGAGACGCTGCTATGCTAAGCGACGCAGAAAATTACCAATATTTTAATAGAAAATATAATTAAAATATTTTTGTAGAAAATCACCCAAGGGCCACATTAAAGGTCTTGGAGGGCCGGATCTGGCCCCCGGGCCTTATGTTTGACACCTGTGCTATAGTCTATCTGTAGCCGGCGGGCAGCTCTAATACATATTTGATATGATCTCGAGGGCCAATTATAATTATAATGATAAAATTATAAAATATAAAATTATAACTTTAATTTTGCCCCTGGGCCTGAGTTTGACATGTCTTCTGTTTGGAGTTTAAAAACACAGGGGAGAACTCCCTGTATTACATGAGATCACAAGACACTCTGTACCATGAGTGTTTTCAGTTTGAGAGACGTGTGTAAATGAAGCAAAACACAACTCCAGGTCTGTTTGTGATGAGGAAACAACTTTATAACATAGATCAGAAAATAGTGTAATATGAGAGCTTTAATTTAGATTCCCCATATTAATCTTACCTTTCAAGACCAAGTGTACTTACCTCCTTTCACTACAGTGAGTTGTTGCACTAAGATGTGATCATGACGTGTACTTTACCCAGACAACAGCAATATAATAATGATTTATAATACTGACTGTGTTTGTAATATAATATAATAATAAAAATAATCAACTTTATTGGCAGATAAGGCACTGTGAACTCTGCGGACACCGATTTAAAGCGTAACAACTGTAAGTAAAGGTGCACTGTGTAACTTTTCTGATGGAGGGACCTGCTTGTTACCTGCTTGTTCATACAGCGATGTCATTGCTCTGTCTGGAATGTTCCACAGTATGGCATTAAACAGCTCTACTTTACATTTATACAATTACAAGTGGTTTTATAGGTCAAAAATACCCAGAAAAACAACATTTTGACTGCGAGTGGGGTCGCCTCTCCACAGATTCCTCCGCGGAACTTTTGAAGAACCCACCATAGAAAAGTTACACAATGCACCTTTAAATATTGTACTTTTTCTTACCCTGTTTATGACCCAAGCACTGACGACATGGGCATTATTTGATTCTAGACACAAAAACAACACTGATTCTTAAAAAAATTGTGATGTGATGTTATGTTTAAATAAAATAAATACAGCAAAATTTGTGACTCTACTGATCATTTAAATCATTTTGTAAGTTTTATTTCATATTTTCAGCTGTGATTAAAGTGTTCGTAACTATAGTCCATACTTTTACATCCAGTTTTTTACATTTACATACAACTAAATTAGGACGTAACAGGATTAAAAATATCTTTATGTTTCCTCTCACTGATTAGAGAAGGAAAAATCCCACTTGCATACACGATATTAACAAATGATATCTTCTGTTTTCTATTTTCTCACTAATATTGTCTATTGAAATTACTTTTAAAACACTGAAAAACATTATTATTATCATTATAGGACCTTTTATTTCATGCCTTGTTGTATTTTTCCTTCTTTTTGTTAAAATTTTACTAGAAATTCGTAATATACCAATTAACTAACCTCTTTTACATCAGATTTTTTCTTAGGTGTTCCCATAAAGCTTTTGTCAGGCTTTGTCATATGTTTATTTGTGCGTTTCCTCTCACTGATTAGAGAAGGAAAAATCCCACTTACACAAACGATACTGACGAGTGATATTTTCTTTTTTCTATTTTCTCACTAATATTGTGCAATTTGAAGCCTAAATTCTGTGACTAAGTGTTGTCTTGTATTCCCTTTGATTTGTAATTACTCAAAATTAGTATTAGTCTGAATAAGTATTCTTCATTCTAGCACTTTCTCTACTTCTCTTAACAAAATATTATTGGTGCAAAAACGTTTTGTTCGAATTGCAACTCATTCTACGCCACTAACATCGTCTGCTCATTTATTCACCAAACTTAACATTCTTAATATTTATTAGATTAATATTTATCAAATTTGTATTTTTATGTATAAAATTCTTTACAATTCAACAACGATCCCCAAACATTTCATATTTTATTTTAAAACCAATGCAGAGATTCATAGATACAAAACTCGTCAAAATAATAATTTTCATGTTCCAAAATTTGTCACATCAAGAGCTCAGTTTTGCTTCGATACAGAGACTGTAAATTCTGGAGCTGTTTTCACATCTGGTTAGTGACGAAATATCAGAGGCGTTTGAGGAAATATTTGATATTTCATGCTAATGTTTAATAATCTTTCAATTGTGGATGTTTTATTGTGTTTTAATCCATGTTTGAATCAAATGAATTTAATCCAAGGTGTTTAAATGTCATTTTTCTATATATATACATTTTTATGCGCAATGATAATGTAAAATTTTTAATACATTCATAAGGTGGAGGCTTTAATATAAGACCTATTGGGTTTTTTGCCTCTTCCGGCACCTGCTTTTTATCTGGTGTGTTTCTTTTTATTGTCATGTTATATGTGCAAAATAAATAAATAAATAAATAAATAAATATGTATTCAGTTACTTCCCAACATTGATTTTAAGTTGGAAATACTGCTCCCTCTTGTGGTCGTTGAGCGTACTGGAGCCTAAATTG